ACCCAATTTAGTCAATATGTTAGGTAAAAAAATTTTAATCTCGAAATTTATTGTATTTTATTGTAATTAAATTACTAGTAATTGCAAACTAATCAAGTGATTGGGACTAATCCATTAATAAAGTTGCAAGGCTTGACATGGCAACAAACTCGGGGAATGTGGAATTTGAGATTTCATACAAATAAGAGCACAACTTTAAAAGATTTTTCAAATTAAAGATATTATCATTTTTTTATTACAAATTAAGGTTATAATTTTTTAAAAGTTCCCAATAAAAGAAATATTTATGATTTTATTAAAGAGGGATGAAATTTTTGTTTAGTCTAAGAAAAAGTTCATATGATTAACTAGAAAAATTTTTAAAGATTATATCCTTTGTATAAAATCACGTATAAAATCAAAATCTACGTGAGATATAAAGAGCCGATAGAAATTGATACATGGATCTGTTTTAGCTGCAGCACATGATTTTGATTCACTCAAGGCAAATGCATTGCTCTATTTTATTGTCCTCTTATAATTATCACTTACAGTTGCTCGGCCGGAAGAGCCGCTAGAAATTTTATTGTGTAGCTGAAAATTGGTATTGTTAACAAAAGATTTGTAATAAATTATAAGGGAAATTGTACGTAACTTACCTGTGTGGTTTTGTCTGGGTGCAGATAACCCTTTGGTATGTGCAATTTGCATGAATTTTCCGAGGTTTTAATTGGTTTATTAATCTGTTGGAGTGTATATCCATTTCAGGCATGTAAGAAGCTCAATCAAATTGAGCTCTCAGATTGTGAAATATATGCCTCCTGTGAACCTTGCCCAATGTGCTTTGGTGCCCATCCATCTCTCGAGAATCAAGGTAACACCAAATCCTCCTATTTCATTTTTGGCATCTCGATATTTTTAAAGCTGTGTTTTCTCTGATTAAATATTTCTGGAGCAGAGATTGGTTTATGGAGCCAAAGCCGAGCAGCCATAGCAATTGGGTTTGATGTATTGGAAGAAAGCACACAGTTTTGCAAACTAATCTTCAATGTGATCCAAAATACTTGATCAATCTGATGTGCTCGTGGATACAAGATTATATGCATTTGTAGAGTTGAACATATTGATGCTCGGATGCAGTCCATTGTAAAGAAAAGTAGCGCTTGATTGCTGACCATGATGTATTTGCAGGATTAAAAGTCAAGATTTAAGAAGTAATCACTTTCTTCTGAATATTGCTCTAGAAGCTTAGCTTGTATTGATTAATGCAGCTTGATAATAACCTACTGGGGTTATTTCCCAAGTAAATTCTTGCAATCAGATACCGATTGTAACTGTTGCTTCCTTAGAATAATTGAATCAAGTCACTGGAGTTTATATTCTTGACATTTTTCATACTACGTTTTCCCTTTAAGATAAAAGCATCAATCTAAGTAGATCGATGATGTTATTTATTTCTACATAGCATTTAGAGTACATACCAATACCAAGGACAATATATTGAAAATTAGGAAGAGAATCTTATCTACAAGATTGTGGTCTCTTCCATTCCCCCATTGTTTTTCTTAGTTTTATGATTGGCACTAACATTGATGGGTATCAACCAGTCACCAAGAAACTTTTGTTTATCGCCCTTTGCGAATTGCAAATTCTACTTGATTTGGAAAGGTGTTGGAGACGATGCTCATGCTACCACTAACATCAAAGTCATGACCAGATTTATCAGATGTTTCACCAAGCAAGTACTCTACCTCTTCTGCATCCCTTAATTCGTTAACCCATGGATGCTTTGTCATCATTCTCAATCCCTCTAATTCCATAGCCACTTCCTTCATTGTAGGCCTTTCCTCCCCTTTTACATTCAAGCATCTCCTTGCAAGGTTAGCTACCTCATTAAGATGTTCAATGTTTGCTTCATTCACTATAGAACCATCAAGAATTTTTCCCAAGCAATTATCTTTTATTGCAGAAAGAAAATACATGGAAAGATTTCTCTCTTCCTCTGCCCTATCAATGGAAAATACCTTTTCTCCAGTCAAAAGCTCAAGAAGCACGACTCCAAAGCTATAAACATCACTTTTCTCAGATAATTGGCTTGTTTGCAAGTACTCAGGGTCTAAGTATCCAATGGTTCCTTGAACAACTGTAGATAATTCAGCCTGGTCTTGTGGAATTAACCTTGAAATACCAAAATAAGATACTTTTGCTGTATAGCTATCATCTAAGAGTATGTTTGTAGACTTTATATCTCTATGAATGATTGGTGTAGAGGTTCCAAAATGCAAATATGATAGCACTCCTGCAGTTTCTGCTGCTATCTTTAAGCGGTCTTCCCAAGTCAATGATGAAGCCTTATTTTTATTATGGATGTGATGGTGGAGAGTGCCTTTGGTAATGAATTCATAAACTAGCAATGGAACTTCTGTCTCTAAGCAACAACCTAACAGCTTCACCACATTTCTATGGTTGATTTGTAAAAGAATAACAACTTCATTTATGAATTGCCCATTTTGACTTTGATCAATAATGTGGGACTTCTTGATTGCAACAATTCTCCCATCACCAAGAGTTCCTTTGTAAACTGCCCCATAGCCTCCTTGACCTATAATTTTGCTTTCATCAAAGTTGTTTGTGGCTTTCTTGAGTTCTTCAACTGTAAAAATTTTAGCTGTTTGTGCAGATCCTTCATGGTTGGATAGTTGTTGTTGCAACATCAAACCTCCATTTTGCATGAAGAACTTTTGTTTGAGTTTGATGAGCTTCCATTTATTATATCCCCAGAACAGCCAAGTGCCAGCTACTAGCAATAATGCAAGGCCTCCAATCCCTTTGTAAATTAAAGAAATAAAAATTATTATGAGAGTTAATAGAACATGTTTTGACTAAAATGAGAAATTAAACAGTTCAGAAAAAATTAGTATTTTGCAATGCAAATCACATTGGACTGCAAAACTCTAGCCATTGGGTTATGTGAGGTCCTTGATATTAGAGTAGGGCCCTTCCATCCAATCTGAATTGCAAAACACTATACTCTTAAAAGTGTTCCCTCCTATAGGAAGTTAAAACTAAATTGTTCAGTAGACATTCTCTTTTAGTAATTGTTGGGTTGAAGTAAAACAGATATTTACAATAGGCTCAAGAGCTGTTTTGATTACTTAAACAGAAATCAGGCAGGAAATAAAAATCTGTAGTTGAAATCAACTACGCTGCAAAAGTATGTTAGATATGACTACTTGGAAGTGGATTAAAATATGTATACTTGCCTGCAGGGACTAGAATTAGATTCCAGTTATGTCGATTATTGGCAACGCAACCTTGTTCAGTACCGTTTACAAGGTCGTAACCTTTCGGGCACAAACATGTATGACTTCCTTCTGTATTGATGCAGGTCGCCATACCTTTACAATCATTGAGATTAGGGTCTACACACTCATCTATATCTGCAAAAGAATGAAAACTATCAGAGCAAGAACTATTACTTTGACTTTCATGAAATACAATACATATAGCATGAGTATAAATGGGTTACCTTGGCAACCACCATCTAGGTATGGATTTCCTTCAAAACCTTTTAAGCACTTGCATCGATATCCATCATCATCAATAGGAACGCATTCGCTGTTTCTTTGGCATGCATTCGCTTTTTCAGTTTTACATGTATGGTTTTTCTCCCGAATTGACCAATCAAGCACCATGGGGACTCGACTAACATTTCGCAAGTCGAGAAGAAGATTTGAAGAAAAGTTGAACTTGCTTTCTTCCACGATGAAGCCATAGCTGCAAGGGCTGAAGTTCCAAACTCCGGTATGACTGTAGTAGCTTGTTACTGCTACCTCGATGTAGTTCGTTCTTGTGGGAATGGATGTCTGGCAACAACCAATTCCAGAACATTTGTCACTGGCTACATAGTCAGTCCTGCTACATTGGGTTATGCAACCTGTAGTGTAGGTTTTATTCCCTTGGAAACCTCGTGCGAATGCTACCGTATCACAGCCAATAGCGACAAACTTGTTCCTAGTTTCAGAAATGGTATAACTACCGTCTAAATCTAAATTGAGCCAGGCATAGTTGTTATTAATTCGTACACCGAATGCATTATAGCAATCTTTGGCTATAAATTGCGTTATGTGCGTCCTCCCTTCAAGAGTTATGTTGGTGACACTGATATTACTCTTCGCTAAAAATGCTAATGGGGGACTAGAAGTGTCATTGCAACTTATGAGAAAATCTTCATTGTAGGAACATCCTTCTCTTGTACCGAATGGATATGGGATACTTACATTACCACACCTATCTGGACAATCATCTTTTGCAATAGGAGCTGGTTCTGCCACAATTGCTGCTAATGGTGCTGCAATAAGGATGACCAGCCAAAACCTTTCAAGAATTCCCATGGCAAGTACTGCTTCCTTCTTTCTTTAGATTGAAATTGAAATTCAAATTTAAAGATCCTGCGAATGAAAGTCCTTCTATAGTTGTAGAGTTAGATTGAAATTGAAATTCGAAATTCAAATTTAAAGATCCTTTTGTAGAATTCGAAACATCAATTAATTGAACGTTAATACGAAATTATTGTATAAATATCTTGACATGACATGATTTTATATAATTTATAAAAGTTTGATATTAATTACAATTTAAAATCACACTAGAGAATTAGAGCATTTCAAAAGTGATGCAATGCAATAGCATACATGTCAAAGTTTAGCTAAGGAATTAAGGAAAGGATTACTCAATTAATAAAAGGATTACTCAATTTGATGCGCAAATTAATTGAAGCCATGCTGATAAACAGGTGGAGGGTAGGAGTGGGAGGAAAAGCTAGCAATTAATAAAAATTCGAAACTGACCAAAATCACGATCAACGAGTAGGATTTAATTGAGTTTTACGTATTTTTAACTAAAAATTTAACCAAACCAATCTCAAAAGGTTTGGGTTTTAGTTGCTAAAAATTAAAAAAAATATATTAAAATTGAACCGAACATATTATCTCCTAATCCTATGCATCTATCCCACGTATTACATTAATGATTTCTTGATACATCCAAAAGTTGACTACTTCAATAAATTCTATAACATGCGCAGCATATATTTAAAATGTTATTCTCAATTTTAGTTTTTAAACTTTTAATTTTAAATATTTTTTTAAAATTATTTTTTTACTTTTTTTTTTCATTTTTAAACTATGATATATTTTTTTCGTTAGTTAGTTTGTAACTTTGTCTATATATCTATATATATATATTTAATCTCTAAACTTATAATATATATTTATTTTATAAATTTATACATTTAGAACTAAGAACTTATTTGGGAGGAGGCCTTCCTCCAAAAAAGAATCCAGGGAAGCTAACCAAAATGTGCTGGCTTAGCTCAGGAAATAAAATTTTTTGGCACAAAAATTGAGATTTAATATAATTGATTATAATATAAATATAGTCGATTATGTGGTAAAATTTCTAAGAAAATTATTTTCAAGGATATTTTGTTTGGAAAGTGAGGTAATTGATTATAAAAGCCAATAAGCAAATATATCACTTGTAATCACTCCTTAACTCTGCGTAATCTATTATATACCAAATATAATCGATTACGTTTCTAACATAATCAACTATATTTAACATCGATTTTCATGCTAGGAAAAAATTTCCTAAGCCAAGCCTAGCCCTTTTTTTTGTCAGCTTCCCTATATTCTTTTTCTAGGAAAAGAGTGTTAAAAATGTATATACATGGATAGAGTTAATGGATTAATTAATAAAATATCTAAAAAAATATAAAAAATAATTTAAGAACTAAAAATGTTTAAAATCATAAGTTAAAGGATGAGAAAATATTTGAAAAAAATATGCAAATAAGAATACAAGATTTGTCATTTTATTTAAGGATACAAACTTTACAAATTTTAAATTAGACAATAAATCTTTATTTTTTTAATTAAGGATATAAACTTTAAATTTTTTGATTTAAAGATTAATTGAATGGCAATGATGACATAGTAAATGACAATCTTAATAGGAATAAAGTAAAGCTCCATCTTTAAATAAAAAAAATAACAAAATTTATATCCTTAAATAAAAAAAATAAAAGTTTATTACCTAAATTAATAATTCAAAAAGTTTATATCCTTAAATAAAAAAAATGATATATTTGTATTTTTATCTCAATCTTTTCTCACATTTAACCATTTAAAAAGGAAAACGCACCCCCTTCATAACTAAATTCAACAAACCATGGCGAGTGAAACCCAATTGGCAAGAAGAAAGAAATCAAAAGGCAAAAGAAAGCAAGATGAATTAAGAGAAAGGAAAAGAATTGCACCTGCTAAAGTTGAACAATGGATCGGACTAATCAACTTCAGAATTCACCACCCAAAATCAAATACCAGAGAAATAAGAAAAGTAAGAATTAGAGAATAGAAGGAGAATCAGAAGAGAGAAATTAAGAAGAAGAAAGAGATGAGCAAGGAGAAACAGAGAAACAGATAAAAGAGAATTCTGTATGTTGCTGAAAATACCAAGATACAGGGTGCCTTTTATACAAGAATTATGTACAACACTATAAGCCCAAAGTACAATATTCTTATTGCATTAGAAAAAAGTAGTTGGAAACTTCGCTCACACTGATACATACATTTCAGTTTTGTTGAGGAAGATAACTGGAATTTGCACAGAAGGGCGGGCAAAGACTTTTGACTTGAGGATTCATCCTTTGAAAAGTCGGGAACAGGAATGGTTGGAAACTTCACACGTTGAAGGAAGGCGCGTGAGACTGATCTGGACAAGAAGACTGACTTCTAACGCACACACAAAAAAAAAAAAAAAAAAAATTGTTATGCGATTTGGTATGGTTTTTAATTTGGGATTTTAGTTTTATTTTTATATATTTAATAACTAGTATTATATTTAAATTAAATTTAATAAATTTTAATTTTTGAATATAATAATAGGTAATAAATATATAAAAAATAAAAATTTGTAACTTAAAACTAAAATCATATTAAAAAGTTTCATTTAGTATGATTGTAATTTCAAGTTTTTTGTTTTGATTTTTAAAAATTTTAAAACTTGTAATAAAATTAAGTTGTTTTATAAATTAATTAAATTTAAAGTTTGGGATATTTGTTTTAAAATTTTATACCCAATGTGTTGGTAATTTTAATTTTTAATTTTGGGTTTTAATTGTTATTTTTGTTTGTTTGAATTTTAAAAACTAAAACCAAAAATTCAAATCACAACCATATTAAACATATCATAAATATCAAATGGATCCTAAATATCAAAACGCTTTTTTTTTTTTTAACTTAAAGATTACTTTCCCATGATTAAAAGGTACACAAATTTTCGAAAGATGATCCTAAACATGAATCATATTAAGTGGCTATTTGCTATAGTGATTTAAAATCAGTAATTAATTGTTTTATCTAATTAATGAACAACAGTGTTTAAATTATTAATCATAACAATTATTAACTATCAAATTAAGTGAAATCATTAATCATTAATCTTAAATTGATATACCAAATAGCCCCTAATCCTAAATTATAATACTTCTTTTGGTTGGATTTAGTTATCATACTTTATCCATTCATAATTATCAAGAAATTCATTTATTATAATAATTAAGACTTATTTTTTTTGCACCCTTATTTACAACTAAATGAAAAAATTCAAATGTATTTTTATCTCTTTGAAGATAAAGATAAAATTGAAATATTAACATTTAATATCTTATTAAAATAGAAAATAAAACAATATAATCATACCACTTTTAATTAAATTATATAACTCTTATTTTAAAAGTAAGACAATTAAATCTAATCAGATAAAATACAAGATTTGCTTAATAGAGGATTAATTCTTCAAATATAAAAGAGCATTTGATTTAATAATATGACTTTTACTTTTCTTTTTATTATTTTTCTACATCAAGGAATTATTTATTTATTTATTTATTTTGAACATTTTGACATGTACTTTGTATAATCGAGTGGGTAAAGACTTTTCAGGAGTCATACTTTGAAAAGTCAGGGACAGGAATGGTTGGAAACTTCACACGTTGAAGCAAAGCGCGCGAGACTGAACTGGGCAAGTAGACTGGCTTCTAATTAACACACAGAATAAAAAAGGGGATTTCGATTTAGTATAGTTTTTAATTTGGGATTTTAGTTTTTATATATTTAATAATAATTATTATTATATTTAAATTTAATTTTTTATAATAAAATTTAATTTTTAAATATAGTAATAGGTAGTAAATATATAAAAATGAAAATTCAAAACTCAAAACTAAAACTATTTTAGAAGGTTTCATTTAGTATAATTG